AGGAGAGATTCAACCTAGAAATAAGGAGAAATTTTCTGACAGTGAGAACAATCAGCCAATGGAATAGCTTGCCTTTGGAACTTGTGGGAACTTCATCTCTGGAAGTTTTAAAGAAGAGACTGGACTGCCATTTGTCAGAAATGGTGTAGGGTCTCCAACTTGGGTGGGGGTTGGACTAGATGACCTTCAAGGACCCTTCCAACTCTGTTAATCTAATCTAATCAATATGTCATTGCAGCTCTTTTAACCAAAGACATCCTTGTTGAAATAGGTAATTATAAAAAATCAAACAAATAAATCATACAAATAGCAAACTAGAAAAAGACATAGCTACTTTAAGTAATTGTTGAGAGGTACCATATTTTTCAGAGTATAAGATGCACCAGAGTATAAGACGCACCAAGATTTTGAAGAGGTAAATTTTAAAAAAAAGTTTTTGCACTCTGCAGACCTCCCAAACCCTCTGCATGCCTCATTTTTTGTGATACACTGAATACAGCATTTTTTTTTTTTTGCCTCCTGAAACCCTGTCCCCTTCATAAAAATGGACACACAGAGGGTTTGGGAGGCCTGCAAAGTGCTCCTGGGGGCTGGGGGGACGGGAACGAGCAAAAATGGAATATGGAGGCTACAATCTTCAACCATGAGAGCAAGGACACTTCTGTAGGTGTCTGCCAAGATGTGGACTGTTATCAAAACAAAAGGCTGATTCCCAATTGGGCCATGGATGGGAGGAGGGGATGAAACTCATCTTTAACTATGCAAGGCTGCACGAGAAAATTTAGATTTGGTTTTGCTTTCTTCAAGTGCCAAAGGGATGGACTCAATAAAGTTTTGCTTTTAAAGTTCCTGAGTATGCCTGCTTTTATTGGGTCCATTAGTTGGAGGTTGATAGTGGCGAATTGGCCATGGCGAGTTGTCCTGGGTCGTGTTGGGCACAGCAAGTTGGCTGTAGCAAGTTGGCTGTGGTGAATTGTCCTAGACTGAGTTGTCATAAACCCAGGGGGGAGGTAAGAGAGAGAAGGGAAATGAAGAAAGGAGAAAAAAAAAGAGACAGGGATAACAAAAAGCTAGCAAAAAAAAGTTAGTTGTGACACCTGTACACTTTTGACATGACTCCAGTCAACGTTCTCATGCTCTGTTACCTTTTGCAGCCCCTTTCAATCCCCCCAACCTCCGCCTGCTTTTATTTTTATAAACAACCACAGCAAACGATAAAACGTGGCACTCTACATACTCACAGATTCTATTCTGTCCGGATCAGACAAGAGTGCTGCTCCCATTCCTCCCTGGGGAAAACATACAAAAAAAAAGACCTTTGTTTGTCATCTCATCAGCCCAAATTATCTCAAGGGGGTTCTACAGGTAGTCCTCGACTTACAACTATTTGTTAGGATTCAGTACAAAGTGTGAACTGCTTCTTCACAGGAGTAAAATACAAACCACCCGAAGTTGTGCTGCTTTAAAAAATTATTGATCCATTTTACATTAGTCTATTAACTTGATTTTCTTTGTCTGGTGGAAAGTTTAGAATCACACAGGAAGCCCTCCCACTGCTTTCCTACACCGATCAGGCTACCAGATCATGCATTAATTTGAAAATACAAGGAAATGAATGGGAAGTAGTACTAGAGAGAGTCTGTAGAGATTCTCAGTCATCCAGGTTGTCCCAAAGGTGCTTTTTTCAGGAGGCAACTAAACTTTGTTTTTTTTCCCCCTTTTGAAGACGTTTAGCTTCTCATGCAAGAAGGTTCTTCAGCTCTGACAGGATAAAGGGGAATCGAAGGATATATACTCTTTTCAGACAACTGGTCATTTGCATCCTTTTAGAGGGTCGTTGAAGCCACTTGGAGATTTTCCGCTGTCTTCAAGGTCACCTGAGTGGTGCAAATGGTTCCTGCAGTCTGCAATTTTTTTTCCTCTTGAAATCCATTCCTACTCCCACACCATTCAAAGGGTGTTCATCCCAAAATTGTATAGCTAAAGGTCTATGGAGATTCTCAGTCATCCAGGTCATGGTTGTCCCAAAGGTGATTTTTTCAGGAGGCAACTGGACTTCCTTGTTTTTTCTTTTGAAGACGTTTCGCTTCTCATCCAAGAAGGTTCTTGGATGAGAAGCGAAAGGTCTTCAAGGAAAAACCATATAGTTTAAGACAGTGTTTCTCAACCTTGGCAACTTGAAGATGTCCGGACTTCAACTCCCAGAATTCCCCAGCCAGCATTCTGGGAGTTGAAGTCCGGACATCTTCAAGTTGCCAAGGTTGAGAAACACTGGTTTAAGAGATGGTTCGTAACTTCTCAATAATTCTGAAGTGAATCAGGAAATCAACAGAACAGCAGACACATTTTTTCTGGAGTAAGCTNTGGGAGAGGGGAGGGGAGGAAGGGGCTTAAATACATCTTTTCCAAAGGAGAAATAGGAACCATCAATCGTCTCACCAAAGTGGAATATAGGTAAATCCCTGACTTATGACGACGGAGCCTGACATTTCTGTTGCTAAGCGAGTCAGTTGTTAAGCGTGTTTCGCCCCCTTTTTACGACCTTTCTTGCCACCGCTGTTAAGTGAGGCACCACAGCTGTTAAGTTGGTAAGATGGCTGTGGCGGGAATCTGGCTTCCATGTTGATTTTGCTTGCTGTGAAGTCGCAAAAAGGGAATCGCGTGACCTTGGGACCCTGCCACCGTCATAAATACCAGTCAGTTGCCAAGCATATGCATTTTGAATCACGTGATGGTGCAGTGGGCGTTAAGTGTGAAAAACGGTCTTTTTTTTCCAGGGCTGTTGTATCTTTGAACAGTCACTAAATGAACTGTTCTTAATAAAGCCAAAGTCTTTCATTATTACAAAACATGCTATTTCTTTACAAACCAACCACGTTATCTTTATCATCTGATCCATCAATGAACAAGATGTTGGATAGCCATTTGTCTGAAGTGGTATAGGGTTTCCTGCCTAAGCAGGGGGTTGGACTAGAAGACCTCCAAGGTCCCTTCCAACTCTGTTCTTCTATTTGTCAACTTTTAATACAATTCTTTCCTGCAGGTACAGTATATATATGGCACCTGGCTCAACAGTAGTAACTGTGAGAGGGATCTTGGAGTCCTAGTGAACAACCATTTAAATATGAGCCAGCCGTGTGCAGCAGCTGCCAAAAAACCCAACACAGTTCTAGGCTGCATAAACAGAGGGAGAGAATCAAGATCACATGAAGTGTTAATACCACTTTATAAGGCCTTGATGAGGCCACACTTGGAATTCTGCATCCAGTTTTAGTCGCCACGATGTAGAAAAGATGTGGAGATTCTAGAAAGAGTGCAGAGAAGAGCAAGAAAGAGGATCAGGGGATTGGAGGCTAAAACAATCAAAAAACGGTTGCAGGAACTGGGTANAAAAAAATCTTACCTTTCCCTCCTGCTGTGTGCAGCATTTTCAGATGATCTACTGTCATCTGCAAGATTTCAGCTTTCTCCAATTTGGCTGAGCCCTAAGAAGGCAAAGACAAATGTCAGTGCAAAGGCGGTTGGGCTCCAGCTAAGCACAAAAAGAACCAGAGAATAAGACTAAATTGCAACACTGGGCTTCCCAAGCTTACCTGCTTTTCAAAAGCACTAGGCACCAGCCTCCTCAACTCAGATAGGCTATTGTTGATCCGATCACGCCGACGCTTCTCAATAATCTGAAAGGAAAGGATGTGTTATTTTTCCCCACCCAGAGGCAATACTGGGCAGTGTGGGGATGGGGGGGGGAGTTTTCACATATCAGAGCAATTCAAAGGGGGGGGGGGGACTTACGCCTCTACGTCTTTTTCTTGCCAAGATCTGGGAAGTGGTGTTTGGTGACATTGAACCCGGAGCAGAGCTCAAATTTCTAAAAACAGCAAGAAGGAAGAAGTGAGTACAGATCCAACCCAGAAAATGGAACACAATTCCCACCCCTACACCAGACCCACATGTAAGAGTGCAAATGGGTGCAGAATATGCTGATGTTATTTCCAGGTAACTCTGATACCCAACACCATCCATTTCTTCCTGCTCTGAGAGCCAAGATCTGCTTTCCAGTATGTATAATACATACCAGCATGTATTAGTCAGCGGTTAAGTCCTGGGGAAAAGCCTTAAAACCCAGAAAAGCTGCCTCAAGCATGTGCAGAGTGCTCTTTCTTGGCCATAACTTCTAAGTGAAACTGGATACCCACAAGCAGCTGTTTCTCGCTTTACATATTAAGTTCATTCAGAAACAAAATCTTAACTCCAACCTGTACAGCGCTAGCCGGCTTTCTAGTAGAGGTACCCGACTCGAAACCGATTGATTCGGAAGCGAGTTTCGCTGGGTTCGGCTGGGTTTAAGGCATGTGGGCATAACTTTAGCTTTATGATCAGAGCGAGGGGGGCTCTTCCGCATGCCTCCATGGGTGTAGGCGGTGTTGCCTACCCGGAGCCGAGGTGTCACGCAGCATCCACGCCACCCTGGAGCTAATGCCTCGGCGGCGGCAAGTCCAAGAACCAGGGAGCCACCCTGCTTGCTTGCCTGCTTGCCTGCCAGCCTGCCTACACGTGCGACCGATTTTTCCCGGCGCCCTCACCCGTTCTCGTCCGCGCTCTCCTTCTCCACTTCAATGGGTTCGTCCAGCTCGCTGTCGGAGGAGCTGTAGTCCGGGTGTGCCCGCTTCATGCTGCCGGGACCTTCCAGATGCCAGTCCAAACAGAAAGATTAGGACGGGGGAGACGAGTTCCGCTTCCCGTCCGTGTGAATGAGCGAGTGGGTGGCGGTTCCCTGGTGCCAGCTCAGTGCGCTCCTTGCAGCCGCCACCGCGCTCCCTCCGGCTCCGTCTCCCCCATCCCGTTCCCACGCTTCGCTTCTTACCCGAGGGAGGGGTGGGCAGTCAGAGAGGCGCGCCAGGCGCTCCCGGCCGCGTACGACTTCTTGTGTAGCCCTTCGCTCTCCCGCCTCATCTGATTGGTTAAACCCTGCATGGGCCGCCCAATCCCCGTCAACCCGAAAGTCACTCAACGGCACGCCCTCTCCTACTCCAGATTCTGATTGGCTGACAGCGTTCGGATTGACTCCGCGGCCGAATTCGGGAGCCCTCTGTCCTCTCTCTCTCTCTCTCTCTCTCNTTTTTGTAAGCCGCCCAGAGTCCTTTGGGATTGGGCGGCTTATAAATTTTATTAATAAATAAATAAATTCTTCTGTAGATATGTGAGCCTAGAAGCTCTTTCTGCTTCATAATAAGGCAGATGCATTATAATTCATTTATAATTGTTTCTTATGTTGATTGCTTGTTAGACTATAGTTTTTCAGAGTAATTTAGCTGTAAAGTTTATCTCTGCTACTTAAGAGATTCTGAGGTTATATTGTTTATTATACATTGGAAGGAACAAGTAGAATTAATTGGCTCGTTTCCAACTGTACGATCAGAGCTAACTACATTTTCATTAGGAAATTCTAATTAAATTCTAGCAAAGTCTCAACATTTTATATTTTAAATTCATGAAGTCTATAATCCATTCAAATGACGTGTAAGTCAAACCACCTTAATTGTAAAGGAAGGAGGGCTGAGCATAGCAGCAGCAAGAGAACCTTTTCTATTCTCACAATAATCAATGAAGAAGCTGCAGCATCCTTCACTGAATTAAACCTACTGACTTGCTTTAAGGCCAAACAGGTTTTGAAACAGGATTTCAAAACATTTTGTCCTCATACTGTTTCTAAGTCCCCCACCCCTTTTTTGGGGGGCCTGAAAGAAATAAAAATGAATTACAGGAGGGCAACCATTTGACATTTATATATATAAAAATGAGAACACCTTGTTTGATTTATTAACACAGGCCTCAAAGCGTATCTCCAGATGACACCAACTGAATATTCCCACTCTCCCCCAGCTGTGAAGAAGAAGTATTCTTCTACCACTGACATCTATTATTGAGTGTCTTGACAGATATTATCTCTAAACTTAAAATAAGGGAGGGGGGGAAGGGAAAGAAGAGAAACTTTTTTCTAAAAAATACAAGTTGTTCTTTTAAGATAAGACCCTCATTGTCTCTTGACTAGCTATTTCAGTTTTGGAATTCGGGTGAATCCAGTTTTTTCAAAATAAAAGAGTTAATAAGGGAGTAAATTTGAGCCGAGGTGGCGCAGTGGTTAGAGTGCAGTACTGCAGGCCACTTCAGCTGACTGTTATCTGCAGTTCAGTGGTTCAAATCTCAC